TAACATTATGCTTATCATATGACGTGTTATATCATTTTATGTACCTATGCATTTATAATATTATGCACCTAAATGAATATAATACGTTGTACGAGTACCTACTTTAGTGCGTTCAATATGTCATCGCGACAAGATAAATTAATTGAACAATTCTTATCTGATGAATTAGATTCAGATGAATCTRTAATGTACGATTCAGATGCCGATCCTGAATATATTCCTGGTGGAAATAAATTGCAAAGTTGCCAAGAAACATTAGCATCTAACACATTCGTTCCTGTTGGTGGATCAGATTCAGATGACATTTCTGTGAAGGTAAGTTCAAGTGACGAAGATTGTGATTGGTCTGACTCAGATTTGTGGGTAGACACTGAAAAAGATATACCGGATTTCAATTTTGATTCAACTCTATCGGGAATTAAAATAAACGTACCCGAATCTGCTCGAGATTCACCAATAGATTTATTTAAACTTTTATGGACTTACGACATTTTTGATATAATTGTGAATTCTACAAATAATTATGGTCATCAAATTAAATCAGTAAACCGTCCTCACAGTAAATATTCTCGAAAAACATGTTTCAATGAAACCAACAAAGATGAAATGCAAAATTTTTTCGGTATCTGTTTACTTTTGGGTTCAGTAAAATATTCCGTATTACGTGATGCATTTTCAAATAACCCCTTATATAGCCACCCTTTAATAAAAAGAACAATGTCAGGAAGACGATTTGAGCAGCTTTTAAATTGTTTTAGTGTAGAGTATTCCGGCTTAGAAGTGTGTGATGATGGCCCAATGCGAAAAATTAATCCCGTGTATACACTTCTAATACAAAATTTTCAAAAAGCTATTTATCCAGATATAAATATGTCATTAGACGAATCTTTACTTTTACATCGTGGTAATAGATTAGGATTCCGTCAATACATTAAGGGGAAAAAAGCAAAGTATGGAATAAAATTTTATGAGCTCTGTACCCCCGATGTTTATGTATTAAACATTGACATGTACAAAGGAAAAAATGATTCAATTTCTCAAGTTCCATGTCAAACTTCTAAAATCGACAGCTTAGTATTAAAGCTTATGTTTCCGTACTTGGGTAAAGGGCATTGTCTTTATATGGACAACTATTACAACAGTGTAATGCTATCGAACGTATTATTAGAYAAACAAACTCACGTAACTGGTACGTTAAGAAATAATAGAAAAGGAAATCCGAAGGAAGTAGTAAATAAAAAACTTAAAAAAGGGGAACATGTATGGAAACGGAGAGGATTGGTTTACGTTTCGAAATGGAAGGATAAACGAGATGTAGTATGTATTACCACTAATCATAAACCAACCATTATTTTATCAACAAATAAATATGGTCAAGAAAGATTTAAGCCTATTGAAATCGTGAAATACAATGAATTTATGAGTGGGGTAGATCGTGCTGATCAGATGATTAGTTACTATTCTTGCCCTAGTAAGTCAGCAAGGTGGAATAAAAAAGTCTTATTTCACTTATTAGACGTGACAATATGGAATACATTTTTTATTTATAAAAAACATTTTTCTCTCAATAATCTGAGATTTAAAGACTTCAGAGACTCTCTTATTAGAAATTTCATACAAATTCCTGTAGATGCAACTTGTGATCAATTATTTAAAAAAATAAAACCCAAAAGATCAGACATTGTTATACC